TTAATAATTGTGGAAGCTTGGTCTAGGTACATGGAAGTTCCTTGTATTGTTTATTTATCTTTGAGTAAATTAACATTTTTCAACTATAAAAATATTGATATGTGTGTAATATAATCACTGATGACACTACCAACCACGCTGATAATTTTTTGTACATTATCTCACCTACTCCCCCATAATAACCTGCAAAAAGCTAATTTTATTATTTTTAATTAAATCATTAATGTGGCTTTAAAATGTTGAGACATTTGCCCAAGGTCACAGTGCTAACAGGTATAGGACAGAGCAGGGCATCAAATTCAAAGTCTGTCTGACTACCACCTTCCTCCTAACCACTGCACACATCGGCCTCCTCTCAGTGTCTTCTCAGACCCAGGATTCTAAAATTATATTGAATCAGAGCTAGATCAAGAGAGGGCAGGGAAGAGATCCACACTCTTTCCTGGAGGGTTTCAGATACATTGTCCCTGCAGAATAGCCCACCTCTACCCATGACACCCTGTCCTCACCTCACATGTCACAGTACTCAGGTCAGAGCTTCTCTCTGCTAAATGATGGAAAGGATTCAGCAAACTGCAGTGCAGATTTCATCTGCACTTAGTGATGTGGGCAACCCCTAGAATCACCACACTCTCCGGGATCCTGCTTCTTTTTCAGTAAGAAGAGGGAGTTAGACAGGTCAGTCTCTAAATTGCCTTCAATCTCTAAAGATCTGCCTTGGGGACACTCATTTCTTATCCAGAGGAAAAAGAAGGTTTGTCAGGCAGCCTCAGTGTGTATCAGAGCAGCAAATGCATGAAGGTGCGCCAGTCAGCACAAATGTGTCCTGTTCAATATGAGACATGTAACATTGTGCTAATAAAGCCCCTGACTCCATCCCCCTCCCCCTCGTGACAGCATGCCCCCTGAAAACTTGCCCCTCTGCCTCCACTGTGCTTCTGGCACAGTACCTGGTCTTTCCTGGGCCCAGAACCCACACCATGTACACTCCATGGACCTACTTCCCCAGCACTCTAATCCTTTCGCTTGCTTCTCAGCCAGACTCACCTTCTTTTCAACCAGTTGTTGAGTTCACAAATTTTCTCCAAAGACACTCTTCCAGCTGGTGCTTTTGTTTTAACTGTGAAAAAAAGTGTCCACATCCTCTTAAACCACTGAGCCACGCAGCATAGATTGGGTGGAGCTAGTGGAGGAACTGTTTGCCTTTAAAGAGACAGTAACATTTCTCCTAATTTGGTGGGTACTTCAATTTTGCCAACTTGAAATCATTTCCTTCATGTGCTTGCTCTTGTACCAAAATTACCAAAGTTAAGGTTTATTTGGTATTTTGGGTTATGGCAGTGGATCTAAAGGCCCTTAATAAATGACATAAATCTTGCCAGGCACAGTGTCTATAACCTTCCCTGGTGCAGTGAGAGTCTGCGGGTTCATTCTGGAAGAAGAAAGTTGGACATATGACTTGGTGTACCATCGGATCTTGCTAGTGATGGTGCAATATGGGTTTTGAGTCTACTCTTTTAGGAGCGTCTCAAGTTACTCATGCAGAAATTAACAAAACTCAGGTACAAAGCCAAAGGGGTATAAACCATTGAGAGTCAAGAGGAAATGAGGAAGGAGAGGCCTGGGAAAAGTCTCCCGATGATCACAATCTCTCTATTTTTGTTTCTTTGTTTGTTTGCTTGCTTTTTCATATGGTTCTTGCATGGTTGAAAGTCTGCATTGCATGACATATAAAGATGCACCCAGGGAGTAGATGCAACCTTCCCTCTCAGCCTGCCTACCTTCTCCCTCTCCAGGCCCAGACAGAGGCAGCTAATCCTAGATTTACCAGTGGATGGATCCAAAAGGATCTAGAAATTGTTTCCAGGTGAGAGGCAGGTTGTTTGAATCTTTCATGGTTGACAAGATGTTCTAGTTGTCTGTTGCATCATCACAAATAGATTAAATTTGATTGCACATTTTGCTTCACTGGATTCAGAAAGTGGGATAGTCAATGCTTAAGCTTGAGGATAGGTACTAAGTGGACCAGATGTGCCAGGAACTAGAGGACAATAGGGTTGCTACCCATGGAGGGAAGCAGATAGATTTGGAAATGATGGTGTAAATGGCCATAATATTGGACAAATTATTAGTATGAATGACTTTGCTCACCTGAAGGATCCCAGGTAACAGTTTTCCTATTTCCAATAAAGACCCAGATCAGCACCAGCTACACAATTCATAAGGTCTGGAAGAAAAAGAATATACCAGACCCATTGTTTAAAAATCATGAAGAATTTGAAGATGACATTACAGAGCTTTATACCCTCTAAGCACAGATCCTTCAGCAACCCTAAAAGGCACACATCCATGAAGCTCACCTTGACAGACTGTATATATATATATACTAGAGGCCCGGTGCACAAAACTTTGTGCATTTGTGGGGGGGGGGGTCACTGCGACCCCTCGGGGGTTGACCATCTGCTGGCTGAGGTCTGCTTCCCGGGGGATTTGGCCTAAGCGGGCAATCAGACATTCCTCTGGCAGCCCAGCGGCCCTCGGGGGATGTCCACTTGCCAGCGGGGAGCAGGCCTAAACTGCAGTCAGACATCCTTAGCTCTGCTGAGGAGGCAGGAGAGGCCCCCCACCACCACCGCTGTGCTGGCAGCCATCAGCCTGGCTTCTGGCTGAGCAGAGCTCCTCCCATGTGAGAGCTCCCTGACCACCAGAGGGCAGCTCCTGCATTGAGCATCTGCCCCCTGGTGGTCAGTGTGTGTCATAGTGACCAGTCATTCCCAGTCTTTCTGCTGTTAGGGTCAGTTTGCATATTACCCTTTTACTATATAGGATAGAGGCCTGGTGCACGGGTGGGGGCCAGCTGGTTTGCCCTGAAG